AGGGCCGAAGGGCCTGTACTGCGCTGTAATGTTCTATGTTCTATGTTCATCAAGATGTTGCCTTGGGCTGCAGCATATAAAGTATGAATAAGAAAGAAAACTGGTGTGGAATGTGTGTTTCGGGGTCAGGGGAAGAGAGACAGAAACTCAATTGAGGTATACAAAATTACCTGGGGCATAGACAGGGAGAAACCTTCCCCCTGAATAGAGGGATCAATGCCCAATGGGGGCAGTTTTATTGTAATGAGCAGGAGGTTTAGTGTGGATTTAAGTTTGTTGGATATTTGGAACTCACTGTTTGAAAAGGCAGTAGAGGCTGGTGCACTCAACGTTAAGGTAGCATTTAGATGAGTACTTCACACATCATAACATGCAAGGCTATGGGCCAAGTGCAAATTAGAGTAGATAAGTGCTTTATGGTGTGGATGCAATGGGCCAAAAGGTCTAATTCCCTGCTGTAAAAGTCTATGACTCTGAAAATCATTTTTTTGATCAACCTGTTCATAAATTTTTATTCATTCATGGGATGACGGTGTTGCTGTCTCGGCCAGCACTAATTGCCCATCCGCACAGTTATGAGTCAACCACATTACTGTGGGTCCGGAGTCACACGTAGGCCAGACCAGGTGAGGATGGCAGTTTCTTTTCCTAAAGGCCCTTAGTGAATGTTGTGAAATATCACTGGGCAAAGTGGCAGTTGACCCTGTACCTTTCAGAACAAGACCATGAGATGTAGTTGAAGAAGCAAGTCACTCAGCCCACACAGTCTGTTCTGCCATTCAATGAAATCATGGCTGATCTGATAATCCTCAGCTCCACTTTTTTCTGCCTTTTCCCCAGAACCCTTCAACGTACTCACTGACCCATGCTCAGCAGCCCTCTGTACCAAAGAATTCCAGTTTTCCCTATTCTCAGGGAAGGAAATTCCTCCTCCTCTTTGCACAGGGTCACTACCACTGCACCACAAGGCGACCAGCTCTGAAGGAGTGCTGAGAAAGGGTCACTGGACCCGAAAAGTTAACGTTAATATCTCTCCACAGATGCGGACAGCTTCGCTGATACCCCTCTCCCCAAAACCCCCCGAGTTTTTTCTTTCCTTTCTTTGTGATAACAGCTTTATTTAAAATCCAGAGCAGATGTCGGGGTCTTATCACTGATCCAGGGGGGACGCCCGGGTTCAAAGTCTTACCCGCTCCACTACCAACAACAAAAACAGAAATTGCTGGAAAAGCTCAGAAGATCTGGCAGCATTTGCGAAGAGAAATCAATGTTCATGTTTCGAGTCCAGTGACCCTTCCTCGACCCGAAACATAAACTCTGATGTTTTTCTTCACAGATTCTGCCAGACCTTCTGAGCTTTTCCAGCAATTTCTGTTTTTGTTTTTACAACATTCGCAGTTTTTTCCGTTTCTACTCACTGTTCCACAGCTGTGCAATAACATCTCTGAACAGTTTGATTAGCAAAGTATCTAGAAATATCTCCGAGAGTTAATATTTTTAATCGACAGGTTTAGAATACAAACAGACGTTCCCTTTAAACGGTGAAACAGAAATAGCCCTCTGAACCAGAATGCCCTCCCTCCTCCCTCACTCGGGTTTCAGTAATCACCTCACATCTGGCAATAACAAAAGGCAGTTCAGACGGGTCAGTGGATTTTTTTAAAAAAAAGTGATAAATACTCACCGTAACTTTGATCTTTCGTCTCAGAATAAAGGCGGGCGGTTTTCTCCTTCACATCGCGACGTGCTCATTGGGCAACATCCCAAAGGATTAGCCAATAGAGGCGAGAGGCTTCAGGACATCGCCTCTTCATTGGAAGCCACCTCCACCTAACCCCGCCCACCGTCCGGGAGCCAGCCAGTGCCAATGGAGGAAATCAAGACACCGCCTTCTCATTGGACGGCGATCTGCAAGAGGACGGAGAGAGTTTATTGGACAGCTCGCGGACAGGGGCGGAAAGAGACGGCAGCGACGCCCAATGAGGAGGCGGGTTCTTGCAGTACCTCATTATGATTGGTTGGCTGTTGACACCCCCCCCGTGACGTATGTGCGTCACCCCCGGCCGACCGTGCCTGGTTGTCATGGCAAATGCCGTCAAACAGACATGATGGTGTGGGCCGGTTGGAGTTTGTGCTTTCTATGAGGCTATCTGACCGAGGGAGAAAGACAACTTGGGGAACTCCGCCCAGCCATTCTCAATCTTCAAACCGTGTATACTTATCAATTTATCACTTTACTAAAGGTCTGGAAGAGGATGGTCATGTCCCTTTGGATGTAATACAGTCTCACAACATTAGAGACAACAGGTGCAGGGCTGGATGAACACAGCAGGCCAAGCAGCATCATAGGAGCAGAAAGGCTGACGTTTCGGGCCTAGACCCTTCATCAGAAATGGGGGAGGGGAAGGGGGTTCTGAAATAAATAGGGAGAGAGGGGGAGGCGGATAGAAGATGGATAGAGGAGAGGATAGGTGGAGAGGAAACAAACAGGTCGAAGAGGCGGGGATGGAGCCAGTAAAGGTGAGTGTAGGTGGGGAGTTAGGAAGGGGATAGGTCAGTCCAGGGAGGACGGACAGGTCAAGGGGGCGGGATGAGGTTGGTCGGTAGGAGATGGAGGTGCGGCTTGAGGTGGGAGGAGGGGATAGGTGGGAGGAAGAACAGGTTAGGGAGGTGGGGACGAGCTGGGCTGGTTTTGGGATGCGGTAGCGGGAGGGGAGATTTTGAAGCTTGTGAAATCCACATTGAGATACCATTGGGCTGCAGGGTTCCCAAGCGGAATATGAGTTGCTGTTCCTGCAACCTTCGGGTGGCATCATTGTGGCACTGCAGGAGGCCCAGGATGGACATGTCGTCTGAGGAATGGGAGGGGGAGTTGAAATGGTTCGCGACTGGGAGGTGCGAACGCCATCGCTGCCGATGCCACCCTACCCAGGACCTTCCCCACAATGTGCCCGCCGCCATTGGCCATGAGGCCACTGTCAGAGAACCCACAGATGACGTCACATCCGCCACCGCCGGGTACCTCACTTCCGGGACAGCGAACGCCATCGCTGCCGATGCCACCGCCTCCATTTCCGAGACCAACACCACAGACACTGAAGACTCGCCTACCATCACCGCTGCTGCCGCCGCCTACACCGCTCCCCCCTCTCCCTCCTCACAACATTAGCCTGGGAATAGAACATGACACAACACCTCCACTCAACAGCATTCCTGTTAGAGATGCGGAGACAACAATTTAAACAATACTTATGGTTAAGTAGCTAATTGCAACATTGGAAGAGTCACCATATTACCGCGCTCTCATTTGAGATGATGGCAGGCGGTGAGTTTTATCAGAGGTTCACCACACCTCAGGTGAGGTTGAGGAGGCAGGATGTCATTGCTGACCTGAGCCAGTATGGGAATTAACCCCGCATTGTCGTTGTCATTCAAACCAGCCATCCAGCAGCCTGAGTTAACTGACCCCCCCCCCCATATTGTAATAACTTCAACTTTAACAGTGGTTATGGTCTCACTGAATGTCAGCACGGGTTCAAGAGGTCAAGTGACACATTCCTTCTGTTAATCTGTATATTTTATGTACATAGATTAAGTGAGTGGAACGTGTTTGCTAAAACGCTACGTTACAGACTTGTGGGTAAAGTTATTGGTCATGGAATAAGATGGATGGTAACATGATTTTTTTTTTGTTCACTCATGAGATACGGACACCTCTGGCTGACCAGCATTTATTGCCGGTCCCTAGTTGCCCTTGACAAGGTGGTGGTGAGCTGCCTTCTTGAACCACTTCAGTCCACCTGCTGTAGGTTGACTCACAATGCCCTTATGGAGGGAATTCCAAGATTTTGACCCACAGATTGAAGGAAGGGTGATATATTTCCAAGTCAGAATGGTGAGTTGCTTGGAGAATATGCAGGTGGTGGTGTTCCCATGTACCTGCTGCCCTTGTCTTTCTCTTTGGAAGTGGTCATGGTTTGGATCTGAGGATCTTTTGTGAATTTCTGCGGTGCATCTGCCAGTGAGCGTCGTTGGTGGAGGGAGTGGATGCTTGTGGATGTAGTGCCAATCAAGTGGCCTTCTTTGTCCTGGATGGTGTGAAACTTCTTGAGTGTTGTTGGAACTGCATCCATTCAGCCAAGTCGGGGGTATTCCATCACACTGCTGACTTGTGCCTTGAAGATGGTGAACAGACTTTGGAGAGTCATGAGGTCAGTTACTTGCCTTAGTATTCCTATCCTTTGACCTGCTCTTGTGGGCACTGTGTTTATGTGGTGTGTCCTGTTGAGTTTCTGGTCAGTGGTAACAGGTTGTTGATGGTAGGGGTTTCAGTGATGGTAACACCATTGAATGTCAAGGGACAGTGGTTAGATTGTCTCTTATTGGAGATGGTCATTGCCTAGCATTTATGTGGTGCAGATGTTACTTGCCACGTCAACCCAAGCCTGGATATTGTCTAGATCTTGTTACATTTGAACATGGACTGTTTCAGTACCTAAGGAGTCATGAATGGCACTAAGCATTGTGCAATCTTTGCCGAACATTCCCACTTTTGACCTTATGATGGAGGGAATATCAGATATAAAAGGAAGGACATAAAACTGGCTGACTAATAGGAAATGGAGTAATGGTCAATAGATAATTTTCAGGCTGGAGGATGGTTTGTAACGAAGTTCCCCATGCATCGGCATTGGACCCTTGCTTTTTCTTAATTCATTTTGTGGAATGGGGGTGTTGCTGGCTGGCCAACATTTATTGTCCCTTCCAAGCTCCCCTTGAGAAGGTGGTGGTGAGCTGCCTTCTTGAACTGCTACAGTCCATATGCTGTGGGTTGACTCGCAATGCTGTTAGGTAGGGAATTCCAGGATTTTGCCCCAGTGCCAGTGAAGGAACGGCGATATATTTCCAAGTCAGGATGGTGAGCACTGGGAGGGGAACCTGGAGGTGGTGGTGTTCCCATATATCTGTGCCTCGTCCTTCTAGGTGGAAGTGGTCGTGGGCTTGGAAGGTGCTGTCTGAGGATCTTTGGTGAATTTCTGCAGTGCATCTTGTAGATAGTACACACTACTGCTACTGAGCATCGGTGGTAGAGGGAGTGGATGATTATGGATATAGTGCCAATCAAGCAGGCTGCTTTATGCTGGATGGTGTCAAGCTTCTTGAGTGTTGTTGGAACTGCACTCATCCAGGCGAGTATTCCATCAAGTATTCCATCCAGGTTTTGAGGAGTCAGGTGGTGAGTTACTTGCTGCAGTACTCCTAGCTTCTCACCTGCTGTTGTAGCTACTGTGTTTATGTGGCAAGTCTAGTTGAGTTTCTGGTCAGGATGTTGACAGTGGGGGATTCAGTGATAGTAACACCTTTGAATGTCAAGGGGCAGTGGTTAGATTGTCTCTTATCGGTGATGGTCATAGCCTGGCATTTATGTGGTGCAGATGTCACTTGCCACTTGTCAGCCCAAACCTGGATATCGTCCAGATCTTGTTGCATTTGAACATGGACTGCTTCAGTATCTGAGGAGTCACGAATGGTGTTGAACATTGTGCTATCATCAGGGAACATCCTCACTTCTGATCTTATGATGGAGGAAAGGTCATTGATGAAGCAGCTGAATGGATGGGCTGAGGACACTACCGTGAGGAACTCCTGCAGAGATGACCTGGGGCTTAGATGACTGACCTCCAACAACCATGACTATCTTCCTATGTGTCAGGTATGATTCCAACCACTGGAGAGTTTTCCCCGATACCCATTGATTCCAGTTTTGCTAGGGCTCCTTGATGCCGTAGTTGGTTGAATGCAGCATTGATGTCCAGGGCTGTCAGCCTCCCCTCACCTCTGGAATTCAGCTTTTTGTCCATGTTTGGACCAAGGATGTAGTGAAGTCAGGAGCTGAGTGGCCCTGGCGGAACCCAAACTGGGAGTCTCTGATCAGGTTATTGCTGAGCAGGTGCTGTTTGATAGCACTGTTGATGACACCTTCCATCAGTTTACTGATGATTGAGAGTAGACAGATGGGGAGGTAAATGGCCGGGTTGGATTTGTCCTGCTTTTTGTGTACAGGACATACTTGGGCAATTTTCCACATCGTTGGGTAGATACCAGCATTGTCACTGTACTGGAGCTGCTTGGCTAGGGGAGCAGCAAGTTCTGGAGTACAAGTCTTCAGTACTATTGCCGGAATGTTGTCAGGGCCTGCAGCCTTTGCAGTATCCAGTGTCTCCAATCGTTTCTTGATATCATGTGGAATTAATCGAATTGGCTGAAGACTGGTATCCGTAGTGCTGGGGACCACTGGAGGAAGCCGAGATGGATCATCTATTCGGCACTTCTGGTTGAAGATCGCTGCAAAAACTTCAGCCTTATCTTTTGCACTGATGTGCTGAGGACTTCCATCATTGGGGATGGGGATATTTGTGGAACCTCCTCCTCCAGTGAGTTGTTTAATTGTTCGCTACCATTCATGAGTGGATGTGGCAGGGCTGCAGATCTTAGATCTGATACGTTGATTCATGACATATACTATTAATCAGCATCTTGTGTGAGGTGATGCTCTTTGAATGGAGGAAAATGGACAGACCGTATATAAAAGGGATACAATTTTAAAAGGGGTGCAACAGCGAAGGGACCTGAGTGCGTATATACATAGGACATTGAATGTGGCATGTTAGGTGAAGAGAGCAGTTAATAAAGCATACAGTATCGTCCACATTATTAATAGGTGCATAGAGTACAAGAACAAAGAGGTGATGCTGAACTTGTTAAGGACTTGTTAGACCTCAGCTGGGGTATTATGTACAGTTCTGGGCACCACGTTATGGGAAGGATGTGAATACATTGGAGAGACTGCAGAAGAGGCTTCCAAAGGATAGATTGGCGAGGTTGGGACTGTGCTACTTTGAGAGAAGAAGTGTATTTGGAGATTTGATTGATGTTTCAAGATCTTGAGCTGTCTTGTTAGAGTAGATTGGGAGAAACTGTTCCCATTCAGTAAAAAAGGATCAAGAATAAAAGAGTACAGATTTAAAATGATTTGCAAGAGAAGAAAAGGCACAGTGAGAAAAAGACTTTTTCACACAATGAGTGATTTGAGTTTGAAATGCGCTGCCTGGAGTGTAGTGGAAACTTTCAAAAGGGCATTTGATGGTTATTTAGACCATATGATTTGGGGGCGGAGGGGGGAGGCCATTCAGCCCATCAATTCTGTTACATCATTCAAGGAGACTATGACTGATCCATACCTCTGTACCTACCTCATCCGAGGAATTCTAGCCCTCGACTGATAGAAATGCTTGAAGTCTTAACAATGGACCACAGTCCAAGATGGAGCTACTTGATCTACTGAGCTGCAGAACAACCAGTTCTCTGAGGAGGGAATTCCTCCTGAGCATGAGTCAGAAATCCCGCTTCTAGCTAAAACATTCTCTTTGGAATGCTAAATGCTGTCGGGCAGCTGTGATCAGTGGGATTCATTCCTTCCCAACTCTTTGGGTGAAAGATGGGAAGCCCTGCCATCTGAAGAATTGCCTTATGTTTCTACTCTTTAAGTAAAGCAATGAACCATAATTAGGATTGACAGGCTCCAAGACAAAATCACAATGGAAGCTGACAAGTTTAAATTAAGATGTAATTTTGGGGACTTGACAGCACAGTCCACGCTTCTGTACATCCCACTGGTCACAGAAATGTATTAATGGATATTGATTGCTTCCTTTCTAAGTACGCCTGGTGTGGATGTACCACAAAACAGAGTCAGGCAGTCAGCTGTGTTGACCCCCCCTCCACGGCCCGGACCGGACAATGCCAGTCTTGACCAGCAGCAGACTCATGAGCTGGTCCTATGATATACCCACAGTACTCCGTATCAGGTCCCCAAAGATCAGGAGTGTGGGACAGAGTTGCTACCAGAAATTTAGTAGGAACCATTTTTTAAAAAAATGGGGCTGAAGCTCTATGTAAACAGGTCCATGGACTCCTTGAGGCTACAAAACGTACTAGCATGAATGGGACAGATGTTCCTTGTTTTTGTGTGTTTTGTTTATTTTGAAAACTATTATCCAATGTGCATCTGTTATTACTTTGTTTATTTTTCATTCACAGACTATGTGACAGAGGCTGGAATTCATTGCCCTCATCATCCTTGGGAACGGGGTAATGAGATGTCTTCTTGAACCACTGTAGTCCATTTGGTGAAGAGATTTCCACAGTGCTGTTAGGTAGGGAGTTTCAGATTTTTGACCCAGTATCAATGAAGGAATGGAGGTATGTGATTTGACGAACACCTTGACGGTGTAGTATTTCAATACATCTGCTGCCCCGTCCTTCTAAGTGTGAGAGGCCATGGTTTTCAAAGGCTGTTGAATGAGCCTTGACAGGTTGCTGCAGGGTAATTGTAGAGGTATATACTGCTTATACTGGGCATTGGTGGTGAAGACAGTGACGGAAAGATTTAAAAGGAACCTAAGAAGCAACTTTTTCACTCAGAGGGTGGTGCATGTATGGAATGAGCTGCCAGAGGAAGTGGTGGAGGCTGGTACGATTACAACATTTAAAAAGCATGGGTACATGAATAGGAAGGGTTTAGAGGGATGGGGGTCAAATGCTGGCAAATGGGACTAGATTTATTTAGGATATCTGGATGGCATGGATGAGTTGGACTGAAGGGTCTGTCTCCATGCTGTACATCTCTGACTTTATGACTCTGAGAGGAAGACGAGTGAAATATGGGAAAGAGAGTGAAAAGGTACAAAAGGGCCGAGAGAGATGGACTGGAAGGAAGAGGGCCTTTGTTTGTTAATAGACATTTCATGCCTAGGCAACAACTGAGAGATTGTTTCTTCTAGCCAGGGAATCTAAAATGTGGAGCCCTGTCTTAGGATAATGGAGATATCATTTTAGACTCATGAAGAGAAATTTCTTGACTGAAAAGATTGTAAATCTTTGGTGATAGTAGGAACTGCAGATACTGGAGAATCTGAGATAACAAGGTGTAGAGCTGGATGAACACAGCAG